AAGCAGGACTATTCACAGTAATAATCTGCAGTAGAATAGAAAAGCAGTGAATATCAACTAAAGAATTACGCTTTCAATATTAAGATGCAAATTGAATTATATGTTAACAACAAGATAAATGTTTTTTACAGGTATTTTGATGATTTCGTTACAGTTGCATGCATTAAGTACACTATCAGGAATGATGATCATACCTTTATCTTAATTTTCCTTTCGAGAAACTGTGAAAGTTTAATGAAAGTTCTGACTTCTAATGCTCACACTGCTGGTGGTCAGCTTAACATGAATGGAGCCACTCTGTAAAATTACAAAGCGCAAGACTTGCAAACCAAATAAAGCAATTATACAAACAATACACCTCCATAACCAGTATCTACACTCCAACATAAATGCTCAAACAAAACTACAATTAAAAGTTATCAGTTTAAGAGAATTTAAAATTCAAGTTCTTCATAATCACCAATAGGCTGCCCAGGGAAGTGGTGGAGTCACCGTCCCTGGAGGTGTTCAAAAAACGTGCAGATATGGCACTTCAGGACATGGTTTAGCAGGCATGGTGGTGTTGAGTTGACGGTTGGACATGATGATCTTAGAGGCCTTTTCCAGTCTTCATGATTCTATGATTCTATCCTACATAGATATAATAACTCTGCAAGTTTCTAATCTGAATGCTTAAAGGGTAATTAAAAAAAAAAGAACAAGAAGTTTGTAACTGGTACTATTCTTAATAATTAGTTTCAGAAATGACAGTGACCATGAGTTCATTTTTTTTAATCCAATTTGAGAAAGAAACAAAAAACATTCAAGTAGCCAGATACTAAAGACACCATTTTTTTGGTTTTTTGTCTGTCTACTACAGAACCCACAGATACATTAACTCACTATCTTGGAGTAGCCTCCTTAACATCATCATCATTTAATTTTGAAGGGTAACAGAATTAGATTAGGCATAAAACCCCAGCCTTCTCAACTTTGCACCTCAGAAGGCAAGGCAGCAGTGGTAATCTCTCTTTAACATTGAGCTGTGCCTGCCTGGCTGCCATAGCAAAACACGCGGCACCTTACTAATAATGGGTTCCACTGAGTCCAGACTGCATTAGCTACCGCTGCAGTTGTTCAGCATCTGCTTCTCCACCCTGTAGAACAAATGACACATTTGTCAGAGTTGACAATTCACATTTAACTTGCAAAAAATATCAGTGATTTGTAATGCATTAGATTACCTGTAGCGATACCAAAAATGTTCTTACATTGTTAAATAGTCACCATAAGCGAAGAGCACCTGATCTAAACTGGAAGCAGTAAGAAGAAATCTCTGCTCAGGGCATATCAATGGCAGCGAGCAGGTCAACAGGTAATTAAACATCCACTAAACATATTCAAAACCTCTATCAAAGTTCTAGCATTTTCTAACATAGAAATTTCATGTGAAAATAATCAGCAAGTTGATTAAAATTGACAGCTTTTTTCAATACTTAGTATCCAAATTGTTAGCGTTTCCACTTTGAAATGATTAATAGGTGCTTTTCCTTTTGCCCATCAAATTCTCTCATTATTCACCTAGTGCAGGGATGTGAAGCAGAAACAGAAGCACTGAGGTCCAGAGCCTATGCAATTTAAAGTATAAAAAAAAAAAAAAAAAAAAAAACCCTCCTAATCAAAAACAGAGGGCACTTGCCTGTCACTGGAGATCTTCCAATACATTGCTTCTGCAGATCTATGTTCTTGAGAGGGTGCATGTCAGCACCACAGAAGCCAGAACCATCTTGTAACCTATGGGGCTGCACACATGACCTGTGTGGATTTTTGCCACCTTCCATGGGTCTTTCTCCCTGTATTGAACTACTCAATTCCCTGACTATTGCTCCTTTTAACACGTGACGCTGCAGTGTTCATATTACCATCTGTAAGTCCTATTTGATCAAGTAAAAGGAATGGAGGCAGCTGCCGAGGTATTGGCAGAGGTAGGATTAGACGGAAGGGGACTGGAGGAACCTATTAAAGTCTCCCCAGCCGACCTTCTGGTTCCAGTAAAGCTGGGGAACCAGACTATACATTTTTTTAATAGACAGTGGAGCAACTCATACAGTACTCACTGATTGTAAGGGACCTCTAAGTGAAATTAAAACTAGTGTAACTGGTGCCATGGGAAAAAGGACTCTAAGGTCACTTTTACAACCGATAGACTGTACTATTGGAAATGCTACAGTATCTCACTAATTTCTCTATATGCCAGAGTGTCCTTTGTCACTGTTGGGGCAAGGTTTGTTATGTAAATTAAATGCATATATAGCTATTTCTGAAGATTCTATTCAGTTACATATTCCTCCAGAAAATGCATGGGAAGCTCAGGTGTGCTTGCTGGCTAAGCAGAGTAACACGGGAGAAGATCTTCCACCCAGCAGTATCGCACGCTGCAATTCCTCCAGCATGGGCTGCAGCAACACCAGGACGACAAAAAATGTGGAACCAGTAAAGATCTCATTGAAACCAGGAGATCAGCCAGTAAGCCAGCCTGAGCACTGCAGATTTGCGCCCTCTGGTCCCAAACCCGTATTTTCTGCTCGCGTCAGACCCTGACGACAACGTTTGTTTCTCAGCGCTGGATTTAAAAGCTGCTTTCCTTTGCTTTCTGCTGGATTAACGGGGTCCGCTCATCTTCGCTTTCGAATGGGAAATCCCGAGCACCTGACGAAAGACCGAACCCTGCTGGACTCTACTGCTGCGGGGCGCAGCTGGCGGCCGCCCTCAGCCTCCTCAGCGCCCGGGTGGGAGCGTG